ATTTGGCAAAATAACAACCAATTTTGGCAAAATAGCAACCAATTTTGGCAAAATAGCAACCAATTTGGCAAAATAGCAACCAATTTTGGCAAAATAACAACCAATTTTGGCAAAATAGCAACCAATTTGGCAAAATAGCAACCAATTTTGGCAAAATAACAACCAATTTTGGCAAAATAGCAACCAATTTGGCAAAATAGCAACATAATTGGGCAAAATAGCAACCAATTTGGCCAAATAGCAACCAATTTGGCAAAATAGCAACATAATTGGGCAAAATAGCAACCAATTTGGCCAAATAGCAACCAATTTGGCAAAATTGCAACCAGCTTGTAAAAAATAGCCATCGATTTTCAAAAATAAATATTTACCAAAAGTAGCAATCATTAATCATCAGTGACTTGTACGCCTTTCACATTCGTAGGTCATCAATGTTTCAGGGGTCACAAGAAACATTTGGCGGCAGTGAACTTTAATATATATTTGTCAATTCCTCTTTCTCCATTCTCTCTAAACTGCGGCTATTCGATCTGATATTCTTTTTATGGTGTATATATTCACCAAGTTGTGCTTACTGGGGGTTGAGCTCTGGCTCTTCGGGCCCCGCCTCTCGACTGATTTTTTTCACACACACACACACACACACACACACACACACACACACACACACACACAGGAATGCGTGCATGCATGCGCGCATGTGTGATCAAGATTTCTGTCCTACTACTCACAAAATTAAGTCGTTTTATAGATTTTTTTTTTTTTTTACAAAGTCTCACAGTAAATATGATTTTTAAGGCAGTGATTTTTTAGTTTTATTTGCTGGTGTTATTTTCACGGCGCCGCGAGAGTGTGGCAGGAACGCTCATGTGAGGGTTTTGAACAGTTACTATTTATCCTACTGTGAAGGGTTGAACAGTTACTGTATATCCCACTGTGAAGGGTTGAACAGTTACTGTATATCCCACTGTGAAGGGTTGAACAGTTACTATTTATCCCACTGTGAAGGATTGAACAGTTACTATTTATCCCACTGTGAAGGGTTGAACAGTTACTATTTATCCCACTGTGAAGGGTTGAACAGTTACTATTTATCCCACTGTGAAGGGTTGAACAGTTACTATTTATCCCACTGTGAAGAGTTGAACAGTTACTATTTATCCCACTGTGAAGGGTTGAACAGTTACTATATATCCCACTGTGAAGGGTTGAACAGTTACTATTTATCCCACTGTGAAGGGTTGAACAGTTACTATTTATCCCACTGTGAAGGGTTGAACAGTTACTATTTATCCCACTGTGAAGGGTTGAACAGTTACTATTTATCCCACTGTGAAGGGTTGAACAGTTACTATTTATCCCACTGTGAAGGGTTGAACAGTTACTATTTATCCCACTGTGAAGGGTTGAACAGTTACTATTTATCCTACTGTAAAGGGTTGAACAGTTACTGTATATCCCACTGTGAAGGGTTGAACAGTTATTATTTATCCTACTGTGAAGGGTTGAACAGTTACTGTATATCCCACTGTGAAGGGTTGAACAGTTATTATTTATCCTACTGTGAAGGGTTGAACAGTTACCATATATCCCACTGTGAAGGGTTGAACAGTTACCATATATCCCACTGTGAAGGGTTGAACAGTTACCATATATCCCACTGTGAAGGGTTGAACAGTTACCATATATCCCACTGTGAAGGGTTGAACAGTTACCATATATCCCACTGTGAAGGGTTGAACAGTTACCATATATCCCACTGTGAAGGGTTGAACAGTTACCATATATCCCACTGTGAAGGGTTGAACAGTTACCATATATCCCACTGTGAAGGGTTGAACAGTTACCATATATCCCACTGTGAAGGGTTGAACAGTTACCATATATCCCACTGTGAAGGGTTGAACAGTTACCATATATCCTACTGTGAAGGGTTGAACAGTTACCATATATCCCACTGTGAAGGGTTGAACAGTTACCATATATCCTACTGTGAAGGGTTGAACAGTTACCATATATCCCACTGTGAAGGGTTGAACAGTTACCATATATCCCACTGTGAAGGGTTGAACAGTTACCATATATCCCAGTGCTCGCAACACAGCATCACGGTGATGGGATATTCACTGTTACACTTCACAGAAGTTACCAACGGAACACATTTTCTATCATCACTATAAACAAAATATTGTAACTGTTAAATACTGTATAGAGAAGCAACTGTTAAATACTGTATATAGAAGCAACTGTTAAATACTGTATATAGAAGCAATATTAAAGATCTCCACGTGTGTGTGTGTGTGTGTACTCACCTAATTGTGCTTGCGGGGGTTGAGCTCTGGCTCTTTGGTCCCGCCTCTCAACCGTCAATCAACTGGTGTACAGGTTCCTGAGCCTATTGGGCTCTATCATATCTACACTTGAAACTGTGTATGGAGTCAGCCTCCACCACATCACCCCCTAATGCATTCCAATTGTCAACCACTCTGACACTAAAAAAAGTTCTTTCTAATATCTCTGTGGCTCATTTGGACACTCAGTTTCCACCTGTGTCCCCTTGTGCGTGTGCCCCTTGTGTTAAATAGCCTGTCTTTATCTACCCTATCAATTCCCTTGAGAATCTTGAATGTGGTGATCATGTCCCCCCTAACTCTTCTGTCTTCCAGCGAAGTGAGGTTTAATTCCCGTAGTCTGTGTGTGTGTGTGTGTGTGTGTGTGTGTGTGTGTGTGTGTGTGTGTGTGTGTGTGTGTGTGTGTGTGTGTGTGTGTGTGTGTGTGTGTGTGTGTGTGTGTGTGTGTGTGTGTGTGTGTGTGTGTGTGTGTGTGTATGACAACCATTGTATAATAGGAATATCATTAACATGTAAGACAACCGTTGGATTACATTGAAAATATGGTAAATATGTGTATGACTAAATATATAACACACGCTTCAGGGTTGTCCCGTTGTATGGGAACGCCGTAAAGTGTGTGTGTATGGGCAGTATGCAGGTGAGTAGTGTATGAAAATGTCAATGTAAGTTAATTATGCAACTGCATAATTAACTTGCATAATGTATAAGGGTTACCGTGCAGCATAATGTATAAGGTTATCGTGCAGCATAATGTATAAGGGTTACCGTGTAGCATAATGTATAAGGTTATCGTGCAGCATAATGTATAAGGTTACCGTGCAGCATAATGTATAAGGTTATCGTGCAGCATAATGTATAAGGGTTACCGTGCAGCATAATGTATAAGGGTTACCGTGCAGCATAATGTATAAGGTTATCGTGCAGCATAATGTATAAGGGTTACCGTGCAGCATAATGTATAAGGGTTACCGTGCGGCATAATGTATAAGGTTATCGTGCAGCATAATGTATAAGGGTTACCGTGCAGCATAATGTATAAGGTTATCGTGCAGCATAATGTATAAGGGTTACCGTGCAGCATAATGTATAAGGGTTACCGTGCGGCATAATGTATAAGGTTATCGTGCAGCATAATGTATAAGGGTTACCGTGCAGCATAATTTATAAGGTTATCGTGCAGCATAATGTATAAGGGTTACCGTGCAGCATAATGTATAAGGTTATCGTGCAGCATAATGTATAAAGTTACCGTGTATTGCAATATCAATTTTTCTCGATTATAATGAGGGTTATAGGACTCCTGGGATACGGAAACGCTGCAAACGCAGAGCACAATAGAGGCACGTTGCAAGCAAATGTGTTACAGTGCAAGGTACAATGAACACAGGATGTATAATGAGTTGACCGTGAAGACACTTGCTGTGTTTCGTTGCATATTCAGTTGAAGGTGGTCAAAATAATGCAGTATGGGAGGGAGGTGGGGTTGTACAATGCAGTCTGGTGGTGTGAATATAATGACGGAAAGCGTGAAACAATGCACATCGGTAGGGATTATAATAATGTATGGGGAGGGGGTGATACAATGCATTTCAGTGGGAATTATAATGATGGTCGTGAGAGGTGATACAATGCAGTTCAGTTTGGAATTATATTGATGGTCGTGAGAGGTGATACAATGCAGTTCAGTAAGGATTATAATGATGGCCGTTGGGTGGTGGGGGGGAGGGGTGATACAATGCAGTTCAGTAAGGATTATAATGATGGCCGTTGGGTGGTGGGGGGGAGGGGTGATACAATGCAGTTCAGTAAGGATTATAATGATGGCCGTTGGGTGGTGGGGGGGAGAGGTGATACAATGCAGTTCAGTAAGGATTATAATGATGGCCGTTGGGTGGTGGGGGGGAGGGGTGATACAATGCAGTTCAGTAAGGATTATAATGATGGCCGTTGGGTGGTGGGGGGAGGGGTGATACAATGCAGTTCAGTAAGGATTATAATGATGGCCGTTGGGTGGTGGGGGGAGGGGTGATACAATGCAGTTCAGTAAGGATTATAATGATGGCCGTTGGGTGGTGGGGGGGAGGGGTGATACAATGCAGTTCAGTAAGGAATATAATGACGGCCGGCGTGATACAAGAGCTATGCTGTCCGCTAGGGATTCTCAGACACCAAAATAACGCGGGAAGCTGAAGGCACGACACGCTGCAACCAGCCGAGGCGAGCGAGGCGCGCGACCAGAGGAGTCTAATTCCATCCGGTAGACGTCAGTAGCCGGGGCAGGCGGACGGGGCTACGACGATTGCCGTCAAATGCCTCGCCAAAACGAATCAAATCGTCTCGAGGATAGTCACGGAATTGTATATTTAAGGCTTTTTTAGTTTTGCTTCTAGGTGTATTCATGCAAAGTAGGGAGAGTACGAGGCCTTTTTAAAGTGTGCCGTCAACCAGTGCGGCAAGCGTTTTCTATGAGCCGTTTTTTTTTCGTATTTTGCTGTTTTGTGTTTGTTGTATAGATGTTTTGTGAGTGATTAGTCGTCCTGCTCCAGTGCCGAGCATTTGACAGTGTGGAGGTGGTGTATTGATGCACTCGACGGAAGCGCCGAGGTAAACATGAGGAATATAGGTAACAATAGTGGATCCACTCACCTGTAACTGCGTGGGCGAAGTCGCTGAGTTGCTCTGATGCCGTCACGAGGAGACTCCCCGCTCTCTGCTCCCTTCCTCTCATCCGTTTCTTCTTTGTCCTCCTCCTCCTCCTCGTCCCCTCTTCCCTCATCTCCCACCACATAGTCCTGCTCCTCGCCTGATGCTTCCTCGTGCCGTGGGGGGAGTTCTTTGCATTGCTGAGGCTCGAGAGGGACTTGTGTGTTGCACGGGCGGTAGTTCTCTCTCTCGGGTTTTGGAGACTCGAGCCTGTCCTGGGCCCGAGGCGAGCCTGGCGCCTTGATCACCACACTCGCTACACTCTCTCCTGCAGGAGTGCCGGTACTCGGGCCCTCCTGCGTCAGCGAACTCCCCTCGAGTCTGGCGTGGGCGGCGTCCGCAGCCTCGAGTGACTGCGGGAGTGGCTCCTGAGGCTCCCCTTCCTCGTCCTCGGTCTCAACGATGTCCGAAATAGGCCAGGCCTCGTGCCTGCTCTCACCTGCGGCGCGGCCTTCGTCCTCGTCGTCGTCTTCTTCGTCGGAGAAGGGGAAAGCCAGGGCCATGCGTGACGACGACGGGTCGTCAGCTCTGGCCGAGGTGTGACACAGCCCCGGAGATGCCTTGTCCTTCCTCCACTTGTATTCATCCTTCTTCGGCTTGCATTGTTCTCTATCTTTCTTTATCCACTTTTCGCGGTCGTTTTTAGCCGCCCTCCACGGGGATGCGTCTTTGTCCTTCCTCCACTCGCATTCATCCTTGCTCTTCTTCCACTTACATCCATCCTTCTCTCTTTTCCCCTTGCTCTCATCCCTCTCTTTCCTCCACTCGTATTCATCCTTGCTCCACGCGCTATCTTCCCCGCGCTTCTTACACTTGTTTTCCCCACTCTCTTTCTTCCACTTATCTTCATCTTTCTTCCACTTGTATTCACTGTCCTTCCACCGGCCTGCTTGCTTCCTCCAGACAGTCTCTCCCAGGGCCTGCCCCCTCGTGTCCTGCGGCAGACTGACGCCCGGGTGGGGGTCCGCAGGCGGCGCTCCTGGTGGCAGGAGTGTCCTAAAGTGGTGGTAGATGTAGGGCGCCACAGACGAGGACATGAGGCCAGCGCGCAGGGGGTCCACCGCGCACGTTTGGCAGTAGGGGTGGGGGCGCTGGTGGGGGTTGTGGAGTGGGGAGGAGGAGGGGGCATGGGTGCCGCAGGGGCGGTGTTGCGCCGAGAAGCTCCGGTGGGAGGGGCTGAAGGGGCTGGCGGTTGTGGCGAACTCCCCAGGGGCGGCGCCGTGCGAGGGGCGCATGAAGGCGCGGATGGGGCCCATTGTGGCTCACATGACAGACGTAGCAGGTGCTGAGCTTGATGTTTTTAGCTGCTACTGCTGCTGCCACAGCTTTAGCTACTGCTGCCACAGCTTCATCTGCTGCTGCCACTGCTTTAGCTGCTGCTGCTGCTGCCACAGCTTTACTTGCAGCTGTTGCTGCCACAGCTTCACTTCCTGCTGCCGCCACAGCTTTAGCTGCTGCTTTTGACACAGCTTTAGCTCCTGCGGGGGCGTCTCTGGCGAACACAACGCGTGGGGCCAAACTGCTGCTGCTGCTGTTCCCAGCTAATTGCACTAATCTCACTGAATCTTTGACTGGTTGTGACGGCGTCAGCTCCTTCCTGCCGGAGGCGCGGGGGAAGGAGCCCGTCAGGACCGCCGCATGCTGGTGCGGGCGGCGGCGGTGGACCCTGGGACCTGCGGGCGGTGGTTGGTTACTGGCATGTGGCTGTGGGCGGCCCTTCCCCCCCCCCCCGCGCCCCCACCCACACACAGGGCTCTCATGGGGGGTGGAGGTAGTTATGTCAGGCAAGGAAGTGTGGGAGAGGGGCTTGTAACACCAGGGTGTGGGGGGGAGGGGTTGTAACACCAGGGTGTGTGAGGGGGGGGGCTTGTAACACCAGGGTGTGGGGGGGAGGGGTTGCAACACCAGGGTGTGTGAGGGGGGGCTTGTAACACCAGGGTGTGTGAGGGGGGGTTGTAACACCAGGGTGTGTGAGGGGGGGCTTGTAACACAAGGGTGTGTGTGACGGGGGGTTGTAACACCAGGGTGTGTGAGGGGGGTTTGTAACACCAGGGTGTGTGAGGGGGGGTTGTAACACCAGGGTGTGTGAGGGGGGGTTGTAACACCAGGGTGTGTGAGAGGGGGTTGTAACACCAGGGTGTGTGAGGGGGGTTGTAACACCAGGGTGTGTGAGGGGGGGTTGTAACACCAGGGTGTGTGAGGGGGGGTTGTAACACCCGGGTGTGTAAGGGGGGGTTGTAACACCAGGGTGTGTGAAGGGGGGGTTGTAACACCAGGGTGTGTGAGGGGGGGGGGTTGTAACACCAGGGTGTGTGAGGGGGGGTTGTAACACCAGGGTGTGTAAGGGGGGGTTGTAACACCAGGGTGTGTAAGGGGGGGTTGTAACACCCGGGTGTGTGAGGGGGGGGGTTGTAACACCCGGGTGTGTGAGGGGGTTGTAACACCCGGGTGTGTGAGGGGGTTGTAACACCCGGGTGTGTGAGGGGGGGTTGTAACACCCGGGTGTGTGAGGGGGTTGTAACACCAGGGTGTGTTAGGGGGTTGTAACACCAGGGTGTGTGAGGGGGTTGTAACACCCGGGTGTGTGAGGGGGGTTGTAACACCAGGGTGTGTTAGGGGGTTGTAACACCAGGGTGTGTGAGGGGGGTTGTAACACCAGAGTGTGTGAGGGGGGGTTGTAACACCAGGGTGTGTGAGGGGGTTGTAACACCAGGGTGTGTGAGGGGGTTGTAACACCAGGGTGTGTTAGGGGGGTTGTAACACCAGGGTGTGTGAGGGGGGGTTGTAACACCAGGGTGTGTGAGGGGGTTGTAACACCCGGGTGTGTGAGGGGGTTGTAACACCAGGGTGTGTTAGGGGGTTGTAACACCAGGGTGTGTGAGGGGGGGTTGTAACACCCGGGTGTGTGAGGGGGTTGTAACACCAGGGTGTGTTAGGGGGTTGTAACACCCGGGTGTGTGAGGGGGGGTTGTAACACCCGGGTGTGTGAGGGGGGGTTGTAACACCCGGGTGTGTGAGGGGGTGTTGTAACACCCGGGTGTGTGAGGGGGGGTTGTAACACCAGGGTGTGTGAGGGGGGGTTGTAACACCCGGGTGTGTGAGGGGGGGGTTGTAACACCAGGGTGTGTGAGGGGGTGTTGTAACACCAGGGTGTGTTGGGGGGGGTTGTAACACCAGGGTGTGTGAGGGGGGGGCTGTAACACCAGGGTGTGTTGGGGGGGTTGTAACACCAGGGTGTGTGAGGGGGGGGTTGTAACACCAGGGTGTGTGAGGGGGGGGGTTGTAACACCAGGGTGTGTGGGGGGGTTGTAACACCCGGGTGTGTGAGGGGGGGTTGTAACACCAGGGTGTGTGAGGGGGTGTTGTACCGCCCGGGTGTGTGAGGGGGGAGGGTTGTTACACCCGGGTGTGAGGATGTGACTCACGGGTTACATACACACACACACACACTTGGGGGCTTTACTCCTACATACACCCGGTGGGGAGGAGGGGGGGGGGTTACCCTCACACAAACAGGAGTCACGTGTTACACCCACACACCCCAGGGTGTGTGGGTGTAACACCCGGGGGAGACCCGGGATGCAACACACACAGTACTGGTATTATCGAGTCTTATTTTCTATACACTGCTCCATCCCAGACACCCATTCCACCCCCCACCCTCCTCAATCCACCCATTCCTGAGGCTGGGTGTGATGGGTGGCCACAGCTGCCGCCCACCGCCGCCCCTGCTAGGTGGCGCCAGGTGTCGGCGCCGCCCCACGCAGACGGCCGGACCGGCTCCACTGGACAGGGCTATGGCCGGCCCGGCCGGCTGCCCCACAACCCATGTTTGGCCAGGTGGGCAGCCGCCCCTCCCCCGCCCACCTGCGTGGGCGTAGTGGAGAGGGAGCACCATACTCACTAGCGGGTGGGCGGTGTGGGCGTGCGGGCGGTGGCGTGGGCCATGTTGTTGCTGCTGCTGCCGGTCCCGGCGGGCCCTCACACAGTGCCAAGGGAGACTAGCAGGTGTTAGGCCCGTGCCAGGCAACTAGGGGCACTGTGGCACCTGAGGGGCGCTCATTGGTCGGCGTGGCCCAGGGGGCGTGGCCCTACACTCCCTTACACCTCGCCTATTGGTCGAGAGGCAGCCGCCATTTGCGTGCTGGACTCTACCTGGTGAGCCGGTACCCACACCTCTGCCCACACCCAGCACCGCCCACACCCAGCACCGCCCACACCCTACACCGCCCACACCCTACACCGCCCACACCCTACACTACACCCAACACGATACACAACACCTTGGATGAGCGGGTATCCCGCCAGATGCTCCTCTGAAGGAGGGAACCTGTCGCCTGCATCCAGCGTGGCTCCCCCCACCATCTTGTGGCACGCCTCGAGTAAGAAATGGGGGGTAGAGGGGCGCGCACCTCACCGATGATCACCCCACCCTCCCCCCCAGACACCCCTCCCCCAGACACCCCTTCCCCAGACACCCCTCCCCAAAAGAAAACAGATTTTAAATTAGATTCCTTTGCCTACTATCACATGTTGACATCTCAAAGAATGATACGGTTGACCTGCTGGCAAAGACAGCCTGTAGGAGACCAGTAGTAGAAATTAGTATAGGGGGCGTTTCATTTGCTGTGACTAAGAGAATACGTCAACGAATGTCTGATGAAAATCTTACTGACCTAACAAATTCATTTAGAGCAAGAACTCGGCAATGTGACGTTATAGTGGCCAGAATACGCCTGGGATATAGACGTATCCGGCAGCTTCCTCAAAACCCAAGTGTCGAATACACCATGTGAGAGGGGGGGGGGGTTGTAACACATGGGTGGGGGGGTGGTTGTAACACCCGGGTGTGAGACGGGGGGCTTGTAACACCCGGGTGTGAGAGGGGGAACTTTGTAAAAGTGTCGAATACACCATGTGTCAACTTTGTGAAAGTGTCGAATACACCATGTGTCAACTTTGTGAAAGTGTCGAATACACCATGTGTCAATTTTGGTAAAGATAAAACATGCACTCCCTCGAACATTATATTGTCGAATGTCCCACATTGAGTGACTTTCGCCCTCCTGGGCTGAGGTATGCTGAACTCTGTATCTACTTTATGAATACTGGAACGCTTGATGATATATCGGACTTGTACCCAAGATTGACCATGTAAAATATCAGTTACACAATATTTGTGATGTGATTATAGTCTGAGCTTGTAAAAGCACCTTAATCACCTTCAGTAGTTAGTCCCCCCAGACACCCCCCCTCCCCCGAGACACCCTTCCCAAGACACCCTAAGACACCCTCTTCGTGCCTCACGCCTCCACATCAAGTAGTTATAACTATCTACGGGCTCACCATAGCCCGTGTTACTTGGAACTTTTTGTTCCAGGTAGCGAATCTTTACCAACGACGACGACATCAAGTAGTTCTCCCTTTGCGTAAAATAAGAAAAAATCGCGCTTAACGAGCGGGAGTACAGCGATCAACGCGAGCTCGGGCAGCCACCGCCACTGGAGGGGGGGGGGGGTTGGGGGGTTGAGGGGTGAGCCAACATGGAGTGCCATCTGGAGCTAGACCGGCCAACCTCTCCCGGGGGTGTAGCAGTAATGGAACTATTGCCAACGTGAACGACGGTGATGGCCATACTCTCCATTATAATAGAATTATTAATCAATAAATATAGCGATATTGTTATAACTAGAATTGTACTTGTAAATGTTTATACTGTTATACTGCCTGACTCCTGACGCCATTGTGTTTAATGTTGAATTGAAATGTTTCGATAAACATCAGACATGGCCGCCTGACATACATCGATGTTTCTGACATTATTCAATCTAATTTCGTTAGCTATTCGTTATCTGTCTACTCTAAACGGTAGCACTGAACCGTTAAACTCTGTAATTGTTAAACTAATTATCGTTAAACTCAGATAATAGTTAAACTCTGGTATTTGTTAAATTCGAATAATTGTTAAACTCTTATAATCGTTAAACTCGCAATGGGTAAAAATATAGTAATTGTTAAACTCTGGTAATCGTTGTGCAGTGCCCAACCAGTTGGGCTGGACGGTAGAGCGACGCTCTCTTGTCATGCAGGTCGGCGTTCAATCCCCGACCGTCCACCAAGTGGTTGGGCACCATTTCTTCCCCTCCTTCCTATTCCCATCCCAAATCCTAATCCTGACCCCCCTTCCCAGTGCTATATAGTCGTAATGGCCTGGCGCTTTCTCCTCATAGTTCCCTTCCCTCCTCCCTTGCAGTGGTTAAACCCAATCACTTGTTAAACTCTGGTAATCGTTAAACCTCATTTTGTTTTACTTAATGACCGTTATACTTTAAATTGCCCTACAACGAAATCTCGTTCATCGCCAGATTGAAATCGTTAATTGCAACATTTTTAATGTTCAAAACCATATTGCCAATGTTGTGAACACCGTTTTGTATTCGCTGAAAATCGAATATGTGTCGTTGAAATCCGAATTTCGGTGGTTAAACGCCAGATTTCGATGGGTTGAACGCCGGATAAGCGTTGTTGAACATTACATTTTTGAATGCCGAAGATTTATAACTGAACTGTGAACGGCAAACTTTGATTGTTGAACGGCAAACTTTGATTGTTGAACGGCAAACTTTGGTTGTTGAACGCCGAACTTTGGTTGTTGAACGCCGAACTTTGGTTGTTGAACGGTAAACTTTGGTTGTTGAACGGCAAACTTTGGTTGTTGAACGCCGAACTTTGGTTGTTGAACGGTAAACTTTGGTTGTTGAACGTCGAACTTTGGTTGTTGAACGGTAAACTTTGGTTGTTGAACGTCGAACTTTGGTTGTTGAACGTCGAACTTTGGTTGTTGAACGTCGAACTTTGGTTGTTGAACGGTAAACTTTGGTTGTTGAACGTCGAACTTTGGTTGTTGAACGTCGAACTTTGGTTGTTGAACGGGCAACTTTAGTTGTTGAACGGTAAACTTTGGTTGTTGAACTGTGATTCTTGGTTGCAGGACGCTGATTTCAGTCGCAGGTCGCCGAACGCCACAACCATTCAACGCAGACTGTAACCGTTCAATGCTGTATTGGTAAAACGTCGAGGCTGTAACGAGGTGATTAACGATAAACATTTGAGTGAAGGCGTTGATCATATTAATAAAAATAGTAACACCTCGACAAATATTAATAGAATCTTAAAAAATATATATATAATTAAATCTTCATTAAATATTACTAATATTAATGAACTTAAAAAAATATTATGAGTGGTTTTGATGATATTAATACCAAAAGATATTGATAATTAAAAATCTTATGTTAAAAGGAGGAGAGTAATTTGGGTACAGTTGACGAGGGCTTCACAAGCTCCACTAAATGTTTAACCACTCGCAGTTTGCTAAATCAAACCAAACTCAATTTAACCAAACCCAATCAAACTAAATTTAACCAAACCCAATCAAATTAAATTTAACCAAACCCAATCAAACTGAATTTAACCAAACCCAATCAAATTAAATTTAACCAAACCCAATCAAACTAAATTTAACCAAACCCAATTAAACTGAATTTAACCAAACCCAATCAAACTAAATTTAACCAAACCCAATCAAATTAAATTTAACCAAACCCAATCAAACTAAATTTAACCAAATCCAATTACCTGAAGCGAAATCAAACCACTAATTGTAACCAGCCCAAATCAAATCTTTCTTGATCTCACCCAATGTAAATGATGAACAGAATGATAGTAATGAACATGTTAATGAACATGGTGGTGTTGGTGAGTATGGTGGTGTTGGTGAGTATGGTGGTGTTGGTGAGTATGGTGGTGTTGGTGAGTATGGTGGTGTTGGTGAGTATGGTGGTGTTGGTGAGTATGGTGGTGTTGGTGAGTATGGTGGTGTTGGTGAGTATGGTGGTGTTGGTGAGTATGGTGGTGTTGGTGAGTATGGTGGTGTTGGTGAGTATGGTGGTGTTGGTGAGTATGGTGGTGTTGGTGAGTATGGTGGTGTTGGTGAGTATGGTGGTGTTGGTGAGTATGGTGGTGTTGGTGAGTATGGTGGTGTTGGTGAGTATGGTGGTGTTGGTGAGTATGGTGGTGTTGGTGAGGTGGTGTTGTTGGTGAGTATGGTGGTGTTGGTGAGTATGGTGGTGTTGGTGAGTATGGTGGTGTTGGTGAGTATGGTGGTGTTGGTGAGTGGTGGTGTTGGTGAGTATGGTGGTGTTGGTGAGTATGGTGGTGTTGGTGAGTATGGTGGTGTTGGTGAGTATGGTGGTGTTGTGAGTATGGTGTTGGTGAGTATGGTGGTGTTGTTATGGTGTTGGTGAGTATGGTGGTGTTGGTGAGTATGGTGGTTGGTGAGTATGGAGGGTGGGTGAGTATGGAGGTGTTGGTGAGTATGGTGGTGTTGGTGAGTATGGAGGTGTTGGTGAGTATGGTGGTGTTGGTGAGTATGGTGTTGGTGAGTATGGAGGTGTTGGTGAGTATGGTGGTGTTGGTGAGTATGGTGGTGTTGGTGAGTATGGTGGTGTTGGTGAGTATGGTGGTGTTGGTGAGTATGGTGGTGTTGGTGAGTATGGTGGTGTTGGTGAGTATGGTGGTGTTGGTGAGTAGTGGTGGTGTTGGTGAGTATGGTGGTGTTGGTGAGTATGGTGGTGTTTGGTGAGTATGGTGGTGTTGGTGATGGTGGTGTTGGTGAGTATGGTGGTGTTGGTGAGTATGGTGGTGTTGGTGAGTATGGTGGTGTTGGTGAGTATGGTGGTGTTGGTGAGTATGGTGGTGTTGGTGAGTATGGTGGTGTTGGTGAGTATGGTGGTGTTGTTGGTGAGTATGGTGGTGTTGGTGAGTATGGTGGTGTTGGTGAGTATGGTGGTGTTGGTGAGTATGGTGGTGGTGGTGAGTATGGTGGTGTGGTGAGTATGGTGAGTATGGTGGTGTTGGTGAGTATGGTGGTGTTGTTGGTGATGGTGGTGTTGTTGTGAGTATGGTGGTGTTGGTGAGTATGGGTGTGGGTGGTGTTGGTGAGTGTGGTGGTGAGGTGAGTGGTGGTGTTGGTGAGTATGGTGTGGTGTGGTGAGTATGGTGGTGTTGGTGAGTATGGTGGTGTTGGTGTGTTGGTGAGTATGGTGGTGTTGGTGAGTATGGTGGTGTTGGTGAGTATGGTGGTGTTGGTGAGTGGTGGTGTTGGTGAGCATGGTGGTGTTGGTGAGTATGGTGGTGTTGGTGAGTATGGTGGTGTTGGTGAGTATGGTGGTGTTGGTGAGTATGGTGGTGTTGGTGAGTATGGTGGTGTTGGTGAGTATGGTGGTGTTGGTGAGTATGGTGGTGTTGGTGAGTATGGTGGTGTTGGTGAGTATGGTGGTGTTGGTGAGTATGGTGTTGGTGAGTATGTGGTGGTGTTGGTGAGCATGGTGGTGTTGGTGAGTATGATGGTGTTGGTGAGTATTGTGGTGTTGGTGAGTATGATGGTGGTGTTGGTGAGTATGGTGGTGTTGGTGAGTATGATGGTGTTGGTGAGTATGGTGGTGTTGGTGAGTATGGTGGTGTTGGTGAGTATGGTGGTGTTGGTGAGTATGGTGGTGTTGTTGGTGAGTATGGTGGTGTTGGTGAGTATGGTGGTGTTGGTGAGTATGGTGGTGTTGTTGGTGAGTATGGTGGTGTTGTTGGTGAGTATGGTGGTGTTGGTGAGTATGGTGGTGTTGTTGGTGAGTATGGTGGTGTTAGTGAGTATGGTGGTGTTGGTGAGTATGGTGGTGTTGGTGAGTATGGTGGTGTTGTTGGTGAGTATGGTGGTGTTGGTGAGTATGGTGAGTATGGTGGTGTTGTTGGTGAGTATGGTGGTGTTGGTGAGTATGGTGGTGTTGGTGAGTATGGTGGTGTTGGTGAGTATGGTGGTGTGTTGGTGAGTATGGTGGTGTTGGTGAGTATGGTGGTGTTGGTGAGTATGGTGGTGTTGGTGAGTATGGTGGTGTTGGTGAGTATGGTGGTGTTGTTGGTGAGTATGGTGGTGTTGGTGAGTATGGTGGTGTTGGTGAGTATGGTGGTGTTGGTGAGTATGGTGGTGTTGGTGAGTATGGTGGTGTTGGTGAGTATGGTGGTGTTGGTGAGTATGGTGGTGTTGGTGAGTATGGTGGTGTTGGTGAGTATGGTGGTGTTGGTGGTGTTGGTGGTGGTGGTGTTGGTGAGTATGGTGGTGTTGGTGAGTATGGTGGTGTTGGTGAGTATGGTGGTGTTGGTGAGTATGGTGGTGTTGGTGGTGGTATGGTGGTGTTGGTGAGTATGGTGGTGTTGGTGAGTATGGTGGTGTTGGTGAGTATGGTGGTGTTGGTGAGTATGGTGGTGTTGGTGAGTATGGTGGTGGTGTTGGTGAGTATGGTGGTGGTTGGTGTTGGTGAGTTGGTGAGTATGGTGGTGTTGGTGAGTATGGTGGTGTTGGTGAGTATAGTGGTGGTGTTGGTGTTGTAGTGGTGGTGTTGGTGAGTATGGTGGTGTTGGTGAGTATGGTGGTGAGCATGGTGGTGTTGGTGAGTATGGTGGTGTTGGTGAGTATGGTGGTGTTGGTGAGTATGGTGGTGTTGGTGAGTATGGTGGTGTTGGTGAGTATGGTGGTGTTGGTGAGTATGATGGTGTTGGTGAGTATGGTGGTGTTGGTGAGTATGGTGGTGGTGTTGGTGAGTATGGTGAGTGGTGGTGTTGGTGAGTATGGTGGTGTTGGTGAGTATGGTGGTGTTGGTGAGTGGTGGTGTTGGTGAGTATGGTGGTGTTGGTGAGTGGTGTGTGGTGAGTATGGTGGTGTTGTGAGTGGTGGTGTTGGTGAGTATGGTGGTGTTGGTGAGTATGGTGGTGTTGGTGAGTATGGTGGTGTTGGTGAGTTGGTGAGTATGGTGGTGTTGGTGAGTATGGTGGTGTTGGTGAGTATGGTGGTGTTGGTGAGTATGGTGGTGTGTGGTGAGTATGATGGTGGTGTTGGTGAGTATGGTGTTGTTGGTGAGTATGGAGGTGTTGGTGAGTATGGTGGTGTTGGTGAGTATGGTGGTGTTGGTGAGTATGGTGGTGTTGGTGAGTATGGTGGTGGTGTTGGTGAGCATGGTGGTGTTGGTGAGCATGGTGGTGTTGGTGAGTATGGTGGTGTTGGTGAGTATGGTGGTGTTGGTGAGTATGGTGGTGTTGGTGAGTATGGTGGTGTTGGTGAGTATGATGGTGTTGGTGAGTATGGTGGTGGGTGAGTATGGTGGTGTTGGTGAGTATGGTGGTGTTGGTGAGTATGGGTGTTGGTGGTGGGTGATGGTGGTGTTGTTGTGAGTATGGTGGTGGTGTTGGTGAGTATGGTGGTGTTGGTGAGTATGGTGGTGTTGGTGAGTATGGTGGTGTTGGTGAGTATGGTGGTGTGTGGTGAGCATGGTGGTGTTGTGAGTTGGTGGTGTATGAGTATGGTGGTGTTGGTGAGTATGGTGGTGTTGGTGAGTATGGTGGTGTTGGTGAGTATGGTGGTGTTGGTGAGTATGATGGTGTTGGTGAGTATGATGGTGTTGGTGAGTATGGTGGTGTTGGTGAGTATGATGGTGGTGTTGGTGAGTATGGTGGTGTTGGTGAGTATGGTGGTGTTGGTGAGTATGGTGGTGTTGGTGAGTATGGTGGTGTTGGTGAGGTGGTGGTGTTGGTGAGTATGGTGGTGTTGGTGAGTATGGTGGTGTGGTGAGTATGGTGGTGTTGGTGAGTATGGTGGTGTTGGTGAGTATGGTGGTGTTGGTGAGTGGTGGTGGTTGGTGAGTATGGTGGTGTTGGTGAGTATGGTGGTGTTGGTGAGTATGTGAGTATGGTGGTGTTGGTGAGTATGGTGGTGTTGGTGAGTATGGTGGTGTTGGTGAGTATGGTGGTGTTGGTGCGTGTGGTGAGTATGGTGGTGTTGGTGAGTATGGTGGTGGTGTTGGTGAGTATGGTGGTGGTGAGTGAGTATGGTGAGTATGGTGTGTGGTGGTGAGTATGGTGGTGTGGTGAGTATGGTGGTGTTGGTGAGTATGGTGGTGGTGTTGGTGAGTATGGTGGTGTTGGTGAGTATGGTGGTGTAGGTGAGTATGGTGGTGGTGTTGGTGAGTATGGTGGTGTTGGTGAGTATGGTGGTGTTGGTAAGTATGGTGGTGTTGGTGAGTA